CCATGTCTGACCTAAATTTACCTTTGCTACTTTAGTGAAAACACGATTTATTTTCGAACTGTATTTAGCTTTATCACTCGCATTCAAATAATTTAAATTCTTTTTAGTTTTATGTCTTAAACTTTCTTTTACTACTAATTCCCTAAAGGGTGGAATTGGATTTTCTTTACGTAAATCAACTTTTATTTACTACTAAAATTTAGAATAAATTTCAAAAAAACCTTTTTTGTAGAATACGACTTTTGAAAATAATAATCAAGATATTTCTGACTTTCTAAAAAAAATTACTATGAATAAAAATGATAAATTCTAAGATAATTTGTTTAAATAATAAAATTTGTTATTAATATTTAAAATCCTTTTTCCCTGTTTCTTAGGTTTGAAAAAAATCATAAATAATATTGATAAATATAAGTAAACTTTCCTACAATTTTTAGCATGGCGTTAATTTTCATTTTTGAGAAAGAAATTCTTGAAGATTGCAAAGCACCAGAATTGTTAATTTCTAGTATATCAAAGTTACTAATATAATATTTCTTATTTAAAAAATTAAAGTTTTTAATTAAATTTTTTTTTGAAATTTGTGAAAGAATTATGCTTGTAATCTTACTTTAAAAGTAAGATTACAAGCATAATTCTTTCACAAATTTAAAAAAAAATTACTAACTTTAAATGTAACTTAGACAAACTGACATTTAATATTTTCATGATGTGTGATAATTTAGAGAAGAATTTATTTTATGGTAAACTTTTAGCTTTTGTAGCTACATAAAAATAAACGTTAAAAAATATAACTATTAAAATAGTTATATTTTATATTTTTTATAAAATATTACTTCCTCATAGAGGAAGTATTGTAATACCGAAATTTTTCGAGTTCGATTTTTTGACATATCTTTATGTTATTTGACCTCAGGAGTTCAAAAATGACATTTTTAAAAAATGTCATTCCGTGTGTGCGTGTGTGTGTGTGTAAACATCACATTTTCATAAATATCTCGAAATCATGAAGAGTTTTTGGGTTAAATTTTTTTTAAATTGTAGATCTCACCTGCGGACATAAAGTGAGAGTACTTTCTGATATATTAATAAAGTTTAACTAAATTTTTTTTTTTATTTTTAATTTTGCAAAAAAACGTTTTTCGCCCATAACTTTAAAAAAATGTTAGGACACCTATAAATGTTTTTCCATAATTTTGTAGAGTTTTTTTAGACGCATCTTTTGAGCCCTAATTAAACATTTTTCGTCCATATTAACCAGAGTTATTAAACTTTTAAAAATCGAAAATTTTGGAAAAAAAAACTTTTTTGAAAATTTTGTTGAAAAACGTAGAAGTAACTTTAAAATTATCGTTATCAACTTGTAGAGCATTGAAAAACGCTTCGATTGACCTATTTTTGAACCTGATTCGATAATAAATTTCGAAATTATTGGTATTTTAAAAACCAAAAATTGTGAAAAATAACATTTTCTCAACTTTTTTGTTTGAAAATTTTTGATTAACTATTAAATTATTGTAACTATCTTGTAGGGTATTTAAAAATAAATTGATTGACCCAAAATTCAATCACTTTTACCATATTTATAAAAAGTTATTCATATATTTCTATTATTTTTATTTCTATGAGGAAGTAAAGTGTTCATGAAATGAGCACCAAAAATATGAAAAAAAATATACAACTTGGCAGCGGTTTTTTTATATGCTGACAAGGATTGTGAACTAATATTAAAAAATTAATTTTATCACAAAAATTATTATATTTTTAAATTTGATGTCCTAAGACGAATAAAATTTTCTTGTAAATTTTCTTAAAATTAATATCACTTTAAAATTTTTCTAACATTCCTTCTTAGTAATTTTCTAGATACCAGCGTTAAAAAGTAATACATAATAAAAAATTTTTATAAACTCTATTAGTGGAGTCCTCTTTAACCTGGCGGACGACGCCTCGCCAAGCGGAGCATCTGCTTTTGGAATCTTTAGGAATTTCTTTCTCAAAATTGAAAAATAACGCCAAGCTAAAAATTGAAGGAAACTTTTCTTATATTATCAATAATATTCATAATTTTTTTCAAACCTAAGAAAGAGGAAGAAAGGATTTAATTTTTAAAAAATTTTATTATTTAAACAAATTAACTTAAAATTAATCATTTTTATGTATAGTAATTTTTTTTAGAAAGTTCAATATGGACATATACACATGTCCAGTTACATTTCGAACATATTAGAAGAAAATTGGTTTCATTTCAAAATACACATACTGGAGAGGAGAAAGGAGGGGTAAAGTCATCGATTTGGATAAAATACAGAGAAGTGTATCGACTACCATTAAAACCAAAGTGGTTGCCCTCGTAAATGTAATTTACGCGGCTTGGCATTTCTCTCTCTCTCTCCCTTTTTTTTAAATACCCATTAAAGGGTGATTTCACATTGACGAGGGAGAAAGCCAGAAGGAAATGAGAGGAAAAAAAATGAAGGAAACCTTTGGAAAAAGAGTGTGTGTAAAAGTATATTGTGTGTATATATACCGGAAGGAATTTCAAGTCACGGGGGTTAAAGAATAAAGGAAAAACGAACCGATCTTTGTAAGATGCCTCTCAAGTCTGTTGCCAGCGTCATGCGGCGACAAGTACGCCATCAAAATCTCCCTCTCTCTCTCTCTCTCTTCATCTTTCACATTTCAAGTTGAAAAGTGCACGAAACAACTTTAAGGCATGTTTGATGATTCTCGTAACACATAGATTTTTCTTAAAAGATAAACTTGAAATACACACGCCGGTTTTCTTTATTTTCTTCTTCATCTCTCTTTTTCTCTCTCTCTCTCTCTCTCTCTCTCTCTCTCTCTCTCTCTCTCTCTCTCTCCTTCAACTCTGTCTTTAATGCTTGCTGTAAAATGTAAAACTTCTCCTTTGGATTACTCTTTGGACCAGTGGTTTTATGTTCTATTGTAGTTTTAGAGCTTCTGCATTTCAAAAATATATTCATCTTTTTCTTTTTAAAAAAAAAGAGTTCAATTTAATGCAATGAGGATTAAACTTTCTCGCTTGTTGGTCACGTATATAGAGAGAGAAGATATTTAAATGATTCTACTTTCTTGGCACTTTATTCCTTGGATTTTGTGTCGCTTATTTTTTTTTGTTTCAAAGTTGTGTCTAAATGGCCTCTCGCAAAGTTTAAGGGAAATTAAATTTTTCACTTAACTAACCCCGCTTTTACTAAATAGAAAAATATTGTAAAAAATTGTTCAATTGTCTCATACCTGAAGGCGAGCCTAAAGATATGTGATTTAGAATTGATTTTTAAAACTATTCTGTAATCTATAATATAAAGTATTTCAATGAATTATGTATTCTGTCTGTCCACACTTTGAAGTTAGTTTTTATGTATGCTTCTGTTTTGTTTCCTTTAAAAAATATTTTTTGACAAATCGAAAATATGCAGGTATTTTTTCATGATTTACAATAAAATAATATTTGAAATTAGAAAATTTAGAAAATTTTAGAAAAATTATGATTAACAAATAAATTTTGTTTATTAATTGTTTTTTTTTATAACAAATTTCGTTTGACTGATCTAAATTATGCAAATTTTTCTCCTTTCTATAATTATAAAAAATATTTTGTTAATTGTTAAAAAATTATCATTAAGAAATAGGAAATATACTCATTATTTCAATAACTTTTATAAGAATATTTTTATAAAACATGAAGACAGCGATTGCTCCGAGTCAAAGACTCGGAGTGATCGGTTTCTTCATGTTTCATAATAATTAAAGTTGACCCAGAGACAAAATTATTGTTTTATATTATAAGAATATTGTTACTGCAATTTGTTCAAAATTATTTTCATCATTTCAATTCAATTATTAGTTTCTAGAATTTTTAATTATTTTTTATGAAAACAATTGAATTACTGCAAAGAAATTTATAAAAAATTTGTAAATAATTTAATTCCTGTGAAATTTTTATTATTTATAAAAATAATTAAATGTTTGCGTAAAATTTTATTAAAAATTTTTTTAAATAATTAAATTATTTTTGGGAAATTTTATTAAAAATTTTTTTAAATAATTAAATTATTTTTGGAAAATTTTATTAAAATAGTAAATATATGATTTTGACGAGAATTTAAAAAAAAATTTTAACACAATTGAATTATATGAGAAGAATTTTATTACTTTTAAAAATAACTGAATTTTTGCAATTATTTGTAATTTCTCTAAAATTCAATTTTTTTAGTGTTTTCAACAAAAATTTGAATTAAAAATTTTTAAATTCTATTATTTTTAAAATTTCTAATTTTTTTTTTTTAAAATAAGTAAGAAGTTAACCGCGCGTTTTAGCGCGCGAATTGTTGCTATTCGATAATAAAGTATTTTCAATAAATTATGTACAAAAGATGAGGAACAATTCGAAAAACCAATGTGCATATTTTTTATCTTCATAGAATTATCTATTTTCTTTTTTGAAAATTTTCTGATTGTAAAAGTTTTAATTATCTATCGAATATTATGGTATAATATTGCATTCTATTTTTATTCAACGGAGAATTTTTTTCCTCCAGAGGAAGCTATTGTTTTATATACGTCAAAGCTTTTTTTTTCATTTCACTTTATACGATCGTCAATTGATGGTTTTATTTTCTCATTATTTTACAATAGGAATTTTTTTCAACTTTGTTTGCAATAAGGAAATTTAAGATTTTCTTGCTTTAAAACTTTTTATCTTGTATTGCACTCAAAAAAGAATTGTTTGTTTCTTTGAGGATTTCCTTTATTGAAATAGAGGAATTTATTTAATTTCAAGAAATAAGGGCAATCTTTACTTTTTTTTTATTAAAATTTTAAATATATTTGAAGAAAGAAAAATTCTTTTACCTCGAAAAATTAATAATTTTTCGATTAATATTAATATTTATATAAAGATTGTCCATTTTCTTTCAAAAATATTTTTTATTAATTATTTATCATTGCTTTTAAAATAACATAAAAAATCTCACCAATAGGGCATTCTTTTGACGAAGCGATGACAGTAACAATCGGCATTCTAATTTAACGCTCTAAAACAAAAATAATTATCTAATTATTTTATTATGATTAATTTACTATTACTATATTTTTATTTTATTTGAAAGATAATTTTTTTTCAGTTTAATACATAAATTTACCTTCTGTGGATCATTTTAAAAATTACAACTTACAAAGTTTTATAATTTACATATGTAATACCAAAAGGGAATTTTCGCAATAGCTTTCGCTTCGATAATTACATAACGTATTTTCCAATTTTCCCAGGTTGCTATGACAGTTGTAAATAATTGTAGTCTGGAAATTGTTCTTGTAGATACAAAACACTGGCTATATAATGCCGCGACATTTCCGGTAGTGCAGCATCCTTATATATATATATATATAATGCATATTATATACGAAATAGTAGAAATGAAGAGGTGGAAGGGGTGAACTTACTGATTTACCGGTCGAGAAGGCGATAGCGCAAATGTTTCAGACGATGAAAGACGAATAATCTGACTTCCGATAAGCGAGTTATCCAGAACGAGTTATTGAGTTTGACTTTATCGAATCTCCTGAGGCTTCTCTTCTAGTCTGGCACGTGCCGTTTAGTTTAATTCGCAATGAATTTCTACTATTCTCAATCAGATTCCCTAATGTCTTTATACACACGGAATATCCTATATCTTAATGAATTCCCTTCATTCCAGCTAATTAAAGACCCGCGCTCAGTCAAGGAAATTCTTCATGCACTAATTTTCAAACATCATTAATATTTTTTTCTCAACTTTTCATTTTCGCGCAAAAAAAATTATTACAGAAAAAAAATTAGAATTTTTATCATTTTTGCTTTGTAATTATAAAATAAAACAACATTCTTTACAAAAATGAAACAAAATTATTATCAATAGAATTAGAAAAATATTAATTAGAAAAAAAAATTCATGACGAAAGTTCTAATTTCTTTTGGGGTTAATAAGTTTTTATTATAATCTAAATTCATTTCTAATTGAGAAAAAACTCTTTCCAAATTAATAAATTTTCTTACGAATCTAATTTTTTTTTTTGGCCAAGAATAAAAATCTTATTATACTCTTATTTCGTTCAAAATAAATTCGGATTGAAAAAAAATTAAAACGGAATTAAAGAAAGTTAAGAAATTAAATAAATCAATTAAAAATAGTTCTTTTATTCCAAATTCATTTCCTTAGATTAAAAACAAATTGAATCGGAATTCAATATATTTTTTTTTATTCCAAATCAATTCGTTTAAATTAAGAATTTATTGAGGCAAAATTAAAAATATTTTCTTCTATTCGGAATCAATATGTTTGGATTAAAAACTAATTGAGACGTAATTAAAAATAATTTTTCTATTTCGAATCAATCCATTTGGTTTAAAGGGAAATTGAGACAAAATTGAAAATATTTATTTTATTCGTAATAAATCGGCTTGAAATAAAAACGAATTAAGACCCAATTGAAAACGGATTTTCTTTTCCAAATTAAATAGTTTATATCAAATACAAATTGATACGGAATAAAGTTTTTTCATTCCTTATTAATCCAATTTGATTAGAACTGAAAATTGTTTGGATTAAAATGAACGGAGAGGGAATTAAAAATACTTTTTTTGGAATCAATCCGCTTCGATTAAAAACTAATTAATACTGAATTAAAAATAAGTTTATAATCTGAATCAATTCGTTTTGATTAAAAATGAAATGATGATAAATAAAAAATGTTTTTTTTAATTTACATTAATCTTTTCATATTAAGAACGAATTGACACAGAATTAAAAATATTTTTTTTATTCAAAATCAATTTGTTTGCATTAAAAACGATTTGAGACTTAAAAAGAATTTTTTCTTTTCTGAATCAATCTGTTTGTATTAAAATCGAATTGAGACGGATTAAAAAAAATTTGTCAATTCAAATTCATCCGTTTTGATTAGAAACGAATTGACACAGTATAAAAAATGAATTTTCAGCACAAATCAGTCTGTTTGGATTAAAAACGCATTAATACTAAAAATAGCAAAATGTAACGAAAAATAATTTTCAAAACTAATCAAAAAGTCTCCCCACAAAAAAATGTATCAAGAAAATAAAAAAATAAAATTCTACACAATTTTATTATAATGTTATTAACTAAGAAAATAAAATCAAAAATTTCCACTTTCAATAAAGTAAACTCTATAAATGTTTGTTATTCAATTATGTAATTCACTTTTGTTTTACTTTATCTCAAAAAATGTAAATTGTCATTATTATTCTTCTCAGTTGAAAAAAACAAACAAAAATGCTCATGAGAAACGCCTCCTGAAAATTCAATCATTTTCGAGTTCGTAAAACAATGTGTGCTGGAAGCTCTGATACTATCCGTGTTGAAACCTATGTGACGGGCACGTGACGTGAGTTTGAAAATCCACGGAATGCCAGTCGTGGACCTGTGGATCTTCTCGAATTTCCGGTGATTCTTCGTTCTCATTTTTTTTTTTTTTTTGTTGGTGCATTTTTGTGTGTGTGTCTTCTGTTCTCGTCAAACCGTAATGAATAGTGAGCACATCAAAAGGAAAGGAAACGTGTAATGTTAAACATGTTACGTCAAATTTTAATCTCTATTATTCATTAATATTTAAAATTTTTTCTTGCGAAAAAGTAAAATAAAAGGCATATTCTACATTTTTATTGAAAAAAAATGAGAAAAAAGTGGAATAAATAAAGAAAAAGGGGAATAATTTTTTTTTCGGGTTTGAAAGTATGAGTAAATTATGGAAAAAAATGACTTAGTTGAAATTAATATTAAAGGAGGATAGAGAAAGGAAAAAAAAATGTGTTGTACCGGAGGAACTGGTGGGACGAGGATGACAAGATGTGGAGTTTTTTGTGGTCTTGCTGCATTAGCAGCGTTAACCACTGCACTTTTGGGACCATCATGGCTCCACACTGAGGAACGATATTCACTGCCACAAATGCCAAGAAATATCGCTAATCTCGTCTCTGTCAAATTTAAACTCGGACTCTTCAAAGTATGTCCGAAAATTATCAAGCCTTCAAATGTTACATTTCGTAAGTATTTTTTTCATTTTTCGTATTTTATTTATTTAAAATTTGTACACTGAAAAGGAAAAATTGATTAAAAATATAAAAATAAATGATTACTTGTATATATTATTAAGTAAATGTTTTCAATCAATTTTTATTTAAATCAGTATTTAAAGTGAATACTGATTTCATTAACTTGAATAAAAAATTCTATTGAAATTTTTAAATAGAATTTTTTATTTAAAAAATAAAAAATTTTATTTTAGTTTAAAAAATATTATTTAGCAATAATGTTAGTTTTGATAGCTTTTATAATATTTCTATTTAGAAAGTTAACCATTATTATTAAATTCGTTTATACATAAAGTGATAAATTAATTTTCTTAAATTTAGAAAAAATATGTTTCAAACGGAAAAAATGAAATATATATATTTTTTATTTGTCATTAAATTAATATTTAATGGTGCCTGTAAAGTCATGAAATTTAACATGTATTTTGTGTGGAAAAACAGTTTCTGGTAAATTTACTTTCAAATCGTGATAATGAATATTTTTCTATCGCATTATCTTACTTTTCTTCAGAAATGTTTAACTAATATCATCAATTTAATTCCTTTTAAAAATTTACAATTTTTTAGCAATATTTAGCAACATTTTCTTACTATCTTAAAATGAGAAACGATTGTCTTTTCTTTGTCAAAATTCATAATTTTCAAGAAATAAACAACTTTTTACTTTTATATTCTTTTGCATGAATTTTTAAAAATATTTTTGGAATCTGATTATAATTATAGTTCTTCAAGTATTTTAAAATTCATCTTGAGAAATACTATTTTTTCTAATTTTGCAACTTTTATTAATTTTCAATTAAAGTAGTAAAGAAATTATTATTAAAAATAAACAATTGTTTAAATAAATTATTTTAAAATTTATTATTGCTGATATTTGATAATTCTCCTCAAAATATACATTTATAGAATTATTTGCAATATTTCCTTAATTTTTCAAGAAATATTGCTCAAGGTTTTTGTGAACAAAGATAAAATTACGACCTTACACGGAAAATGAAAATGTTTTGTTGAAAACACGAGGGGAAAACACTAAAAACATTCAATTTTGGAGAAATTACAAATAATTGCAGAAATTCAATTATTTTCAACAAAAAAAATTCAATTATGTTCAAAATTAAAAATAAATTCTCTTCAAAATCCCAATTAATTATCTTTAGAAATAATTCAATTCTTCTCCGAAATTCAATTATTTTCAAAAATTTTAATATAAAATTCTTGGCAAAATCTCAATTATTCTCAAAAATTCTTTTTATTTCAATGATTTTCAGTATCTACTATTTAAATAAAATTTTCCAAAAAGAATTCAATTACTTAAAAAAAAATTTTAATAAAATTGTACCTACACAAACATTGAATTATTTTCATAAACAATAAAAATTTCACATAAATTCAATTATTTACAAAATTTTTTACAAGTTCCTTCGCAATTATTCAATTATTTTTATAAATATCAAAATTTTTTTTTATGAAATTCAATTATTTTTATAAAAAGTAATTAAAAATTCTAGAAAATAATAATTGAATTGAAATGATGAAAATAATTTTGAAGAATTTACAGTAACAATATTATTATAATATAAAATAATGATTTCATCACTCGTAATTATTATTTATTATAAATTATTGATGTTTTTGAATAATTTTCCAATTAAAGAAATTCGTAAATAAATGTAACAGAACATTTTTTTAAATAAAATTTTTTCCTTTATTTTATAAAAATTTCAAATAATTTTTCAACGATTCACAATTTTATTTAATATTTTTATAAATAAAAATCATAAATTCATAATTTTTTAAAAGTTCTTTTATTGATGTCTCGTCCGATATAATAAACTTGATATTCTTTAACTTTTGGCATATTCTTTAGGATAGGAAAATGTTTATAATATTTAATTAATTGAATTAAAATTTTCGGAATAGATGGTATGTAAATATTTAAAATAAAAATTGTAATTTAAAAAAAAGAAATACTTAAAGTTAACAAATAAAAAACAAGTATACAAATTAGTAAATTAAGAATAAGTGTATTATTTAATAAATTTAATAAATTATTTAATAAATAAATATTATTTAATAAATTCTGATGAGAAAACCGGTACCGGTTTCAAAACGTTAATTAATTGTTATATACATTTTTCTTTCCTAAATAAAATGCCAAATAGTAAACAATATAATTTTTTTTAATTTTCTTATTTCAAATACTTATTTTATTATAAATCATGAAAGAATATCTGCATATTTTTGATTCGTTAAACAATATTTTTTAAAGAAAAAAAAAACAAAAGCATATACAAAAACTAACTTCAAAGTGTGGACAGACAGAATGAAAGAATGAAATAATAAAATACGTAGATTATTATAGTAAATATTTTAAGGAAAGTAATCATAGCAAAAATAATTAATTTAAATTAGTTAACTTAAACAAGTGTTTATTTTTCGTGCAAAAATTGGTCTTCTTTTTAATTAAAAAATGATAAAAGTAGACAAAAATTGTAAAAATTTTTATTGAAAAAATTTTCAAAAAACTTTTATTTTTAGTGATTTTATAGTACATTTACAAAAAAGTAATCTTTCCCAATGAAAAAAGATATGTAAAATTTCATGAGCGTTGAGGCATCATTAAATATTTATTAAAATCATAATAAAAAAATAAGTATTTTTCTATTCATTCACAACGAAAATCAGCGAAGATTATATATTATATTAAGTATTTACAATATATCTATATATTTATTTGAATGTCTTACAATATTGTTTTTTTTTACAATGATTCCTTTATTTTATACGTCTACACGAATAGTTACGCAGAGATCGTTAATAATCATACTCAAAAGAAAATTCAATTACGTCAGCTTTCTAGAAAAACTCTAGAGCCTTATCAAAAAAAAAAAATCTATATCATTCTTTCTAGATAATGATTCACGGAAGCATTCAAATTGAACTCGAGTGTTGGAATGGTTGAAAGCTACCGAGTAGCAGTCAAAGTTATTTTCTTCTTATTTTCACGACTTTCTCAGATTTTTTTCCCTTTTTTTTAATGCTTGCGCTCTCTATCTCTGTCTCTCTTTCTCCTTTTCATACTAGTGAAGCTTCGTTTTCTTGTTGGCAAGTACAGTCTGTAAAAAATGGCCTTTTTCACTTGATTACGGCTTATAGAAATCATTGGAGCGATGAAAAAGGAGTTAAAAGTTTCGTTACTTGCTTTAATTTAATTGGAGGTAAAAATTTTCGGTTCAAGTAATTTTAAAAAAAGGAAAAAAAATACATCAAATATCGATTACAAACCGAATTTATTTAACTTTTAATTTAATTTATTGATTATTCGTGATATTTGTATTACTTTCTGCTGAAAGGAAAAATTAGCTTTTTATTTCTTAAATTTAAAAATTAAAATTATATACTTTTTTTTTAATACAAAAATACTTATTTTGGTAAAATTAAATCTACTTTTCGTTCTTTGACTATTAATGTATGATATATTATTATACACCACTAATATTTTTATACAGCGTTACGCTATACAACAAGAAAGAAAAATCTATAGTTGTAGAAAATAAAAAATTCAACAGAGAAAAATGTGGAAATAGTGTAGGCAACACTCAAAAACACAATACAAAATGAAACTAAGTCAAGAATGACGATGAATAGAAGTAAAACGCTGACACATTCTAAAATTCTAGATACAATGAGAGAATTTTCTATTCGTTCTCAGATTCACCAGTGAACGAAAATAATAATGTAACTGGAATATCTCAGCAAAATTTTGATACATTATTTGGTCCTTACATTTTCGAAAAGTTTTTCAAGAACAAAATATTTGAACATTTTTCTGTTAGTTAAACTTTGAACAAGGGATTTCAAAAATTTGTTTACTATTCAAAATTTAACATACCATTCAACTAAATTAAAAAATTAGAATTTTTAATTAAAGTTTTTAAATTAAATTAAAGAAAAGTTTTCAATTTCAAATTAAATTAAAATTTAAAGGGATTTTTTGACAGAAGAAATAAATTTTAAATTTAAATTAAAAATTTGTAATTTAATTCAAGTAAAATATATTTGAGTTTAAATAAAAATTTTCTCTGGGAGTAGATTCTTTATTTATTATTCTAATGTTTATTTCTAATTTTCTACTAATTTGACAGAATTTTAAAAAATTGGAATTTTCATTTGATCAACATTGCAAATTGCGGAAATTCTTTTATTGTCATTCTTTATTATTTAAATCGATAAATTATACAAGAAAAAATTAATTTCGAGCAATATACAGACAAAAGTGTTTTTATTAATTTCAATAAAGATAGAAATAAATAATTTATTATATGGTCAATTCTGAAAAATTTTTTAAACTCCTTAAACTCAATCGGTCTATCTCGGGTCTTTTAGGAAAATTTTCTGCATATTATCAGGTATAAATAAATAAAAAAAAATAAGAATTAATCACGTCCAAATTTAAAAAAAATTAATTTGTTTATAAAAAAATAATTTTTCTTCATTTAAAATTTTAAAAAAATAAACTCAATACTTTCAAAATTATGAGCTATTGAAAATAAGTCTACTTTTTAAAGTCCAAAATTTCGAAAATTCATAACTCGAAAATTTTGTCAAATATGGAAAAATAAAAAAATACGTATTTAACATTTTTCTATAAAGAATGAGAAAAAAATATGTTTAACCGATTTTAAAATGCCACAGAAAAATGTCAAGTAGAATTAATTGCCCGCATATATAAAAAATAGTTTATAGTGATACATAGTTTTTCTAAAAATATGAAATTGAGACAAAAAACGTATCAAATTGTTGCGATGCAAAAATACTTTTTTCGTCTCAATTTGATATCCTTAGAAAAACTGTGTATATATTTTCTACTGTTCTATATAAATTTTATATTTCAAATAATATATATATATATATATATTTTGTATATGCATAGAAAATGCGAACTCTCTTGA